TGACATCAAATTTTGGGGTAAAAAAAGTGCGTCTTATGCGGTAATTTATTTTTGTTATTTTTTAAAGTTTTCAGTGCTAACTGAAGGATGGAAACTATTTTCAATGAAGACAACAAACGACATCAGATAAATGTTTTTTCATTGTACCTTACGTTTCGGCTTACGCCTTTTTTAAAGGTCTATAAACGTCACAGGTTACTAAACTGATTTTAAATTATATAGTAACCGAAGAGAATATAAAACTACAACATTCTGATAAAACAGTGCGCGATGAAAAGATTAAGGAACATCTCAAGGATATGTCTAGTTACGAACCACCTAGCAAAATCCCTACAAATGAACTGAAAACAAATGCTAAAGACATTTTGAGAACTTTAAAAATAACACTATTATACCCATTTGACTTCTAGACAATCTCATTCAAAAATCTGCGAACTGTACGGACTACCCAAAGATTGTAGATCTGGCATACCATTAATACCATAGTCTCCATATGTAACCCTCCATTAGCGTACTTATCTCGGCTACTCGAAACACTACATCACAAAATCCCTTCACATCTAAGCATCACCGATATCTTTCTCAACTGGTTACGCAAAGATAGTTTACAGATGAATCCAAACACTATCTTATTTACTCTTGGTGTCATTTCTATGTATCCATCTGTTTCGTCAGCGAGGTCACGTGACTAGTGTAACGCCACGTTTCTAGAAGTATCTTGTTCCTTCGTGAATGCCCTAGCATTTACTAGATATAGGGTAGTCTGATATATATAAGATGGTCACGGCGTGACGTGACAAGATGTGTGTAGACAGTGAGTAATTGATCTGCAGTCAGAGAGTATTGTTGAAGTTGAGCACGTTCGTTGTTATAGCGTTTGTTTTAGCGCGATTGTTGAAATTAAGTGTATCGTAAAGTTATATTCGGAAAGAATAAACCAGTTTTATCAAGTAAGGACTTGTGTCGCTAAAGTTTCGTCAGAACGAATTTACGGAAAATCAATTAACGACTGGAGGTGTAACACATCCATTATCATAGAAGAAAGTATTAGCTCGGTTATGAATCTTATAAGATCGACGACCTCTTCTACTACAAACGCAGTGATACCTTTACAGAATTCATCGAAAATTCTCCCAGATTTGTTCTTAACAACAGTTACTTCAAATTCAATTTTGCATACCAAATTAATCGCTATGGGCAATAACTTTGCTGTCATTTTGGGCTCCATTTTTATGCATTTCGTTGAATCATTAGCTCTTACTCAGTGAAATTTTGAAATTAATCTTGAACCAGCTAGGTGTTACAGATATATTGACGACATTTTCGGTATATGAAATTAAGGACTCCTTTCTATTTTGGAATTCGTTTAATTCCTTAATAACAATCAACACACTGACATAAATCTCATACATACTCATATTGATAATGTCCAGAAGTCTATACCTTTTCTTGATGCAAACTTATTGCTACCGTATATTCCAAACCATGTGTTAAACTCAACATTCTACACTATAACTCACACCATCCACCACCGAAGACATTCCACAATCTTGACTCACAAGATTTTACCAATTAATAGCGAAAAAAAAAAAAACCACCATATGAAAACACTATTTCGTGAATTACGCCCTTCGTGGATAAACCCTTAACTGCTCGTCTTCGTCAAGTAATTAGATCTTGTTTGAATGTTGTAATGGTTTTCACACGAGTCCCAAAACTCTAGCGCTTTCGAATAATTCACTATTCTTTTTCAGAATAATAAAGTGCTATGTTTGTGAGTGTCCTGGCAGTTATTTTGATGTGAGATTAATTACCTCAATCGAAATAATTAATCATCAGGGGCGTTTGAAGAGCAATCCTCCTTCGCCCCGCTCGTAGATTAAAGGTGATGTGGGCTTGATATGAAGAATAGGTTGAATGAGCAAAGTTTGATATATTTACTAGACGTATTATGCAGTGGCGTAGCAAGGGTTCTCAGCCCCCGGGGACAAAGACACTTTTCGCGCCCCCACCTCTGAAATGTTTTGATTATTTGTTTTGTGACTCATTACCCACTTTATGACAATAACATAAAGAATTAATTACTGCCTTACACAGTCCGAAAATAAAGTCACAATATAACATCTCATGATATCACAACTGTAAA